CTCCACAGATGCTGCCAGACCTGCTGAGCTTTTCCAGCAACTTTGTTTTTGTCCCAAAAGCTTAACCCTCCCATCAACCTGCCTTGCCACTTTCGCTGGCTTACATCTATCCTCAGGTGCCCTGTTAGAATTTTGCCCTTTGTTTTATATTGCCTCTATTCATTCTGCAAGGAAATGGATTGCTTTGTTTCACTGTGTTAAATTTTATCTGGTACTTGTTTGCTCATTCCACCACCACAGATGCAGGGAGTGCACTCTTCCACACTCACAATCAAACTTTGAAGGATGTTTGGCAAATTCTTTAATACTTTGCTAAATATTGCTGATCGGCTCTTATTTTGAATACAAGGTTTATGAGGATAAATCTCAGCTGTCCAGCTGAGGATGGAGAGGAGTTGCTCTTCTAACCATCGGGTTTCAGTCTCTCCACTGCTATGCTGTGCTGTTTGCTCAAGCTCAAGGTCAATGATTTGCCTAGGGCACCTTTTTGCTCCATTTCCTTTGCTCTGCTGCACTTTTGTTCTTGTTTAAGACCTGTATCCATGCAATATTTTCTGCTTCCGGCATCCTAATAAGCTCCAGTGCAGGCCTCATCTAGTTTTCTGTGAATAAATAATGAGGTGCTTTCTCAATGAGGCATTTGTGCAAGCACTCTGGACTTCCTGCTTCAGTTCCAGAAAAGCTACAACTATGTTTCCTAACCCTTCAGGTAAACATCAAAAATGGTCAAAGAATTAGCTGAACTGAGGCCAGCACAATCAGAATATATTCAGTGAAGTTGGCATTAGATATTAATTATGAACAAGCATTTAAAAACAGATTAATGAATGAATTTCATACCTGTAAGACTTCAAAAATTGCTTTCCTATACATAGGCTGTTTGCTATATGTTGGCTGGTGAAAGGCAGTAGAAAAAGAACTCAAAGGCATCAGCTTTTCTACACAGACCTGTCAAATGAGAGAAAACTGAGCTCAGTGATAATCACAATCATTGAGAAAAGAACATATAACCTTTCAATCATGTAACTCCAGCTCAACACATCTGAGGTAAAGAGGGAAAGGAGAAAGAAACAAACAAAATAGGGAAGACATATTTATCAAGGTGGTCTACACTGCCTCTGAGAAATACCTCAATACACTTCACATATTTCATACATAGACTTGGTATGTGAGCAAATGCAGCAGCCATTTACAAACATTAAAATTCTACAAAAGCAATGAGATGAATGATCATTTTTCTGTTTTCAGTGGTGTTGGTTGTTGGGTAAATGTTACCAAGAGTTCTGGAGAACTAATTCACACACCTCAAGAGAAGCGTTTGAAGCACTTTGTTCACGGTCCTTAGGAAGCAAAACATTTAAAGTAGCTTATTCTCGCAACTCCAGAACAGAAAAACTGGAGATGTTTGATTTACACACCTCAAGTTGAAGTGTAAGGGAATTGTTTTGTTCAAAAGAATCAAGAACAACACAGCTTAAAGAAGTGTTCCCAAATCATATCCAGATTTTTCTTCTAGAATCATAGAAATCCTATAGTGCAGAAACAGGCCATTCGCCCCATCAAGTCTGAATCAACGGTCAGAAGAGCATCTCACACAGACTGAATGTTACTTGCCATTTGTCAGCCCAAGCTTGGACATAGTCCAGATCTTGTTGCATTTGAACATGGACTGCTTCAGTATCTGAGGAGCAGCAAATGATACTGAACATTGTGCAATCATCGACAAACATCCCCAGTTATGATCTGATGTTGGAGGGAAGGTCATTGATGAAGCAGTTGAAGATGGGTTGGGGGTAGTACACTACCCTGAGGAACTCCTGCAGAGATATCCTGGAGCTGAGATGAAGACCTCCAACAACCACAACCATCTTTCTATGTGCCAGGTATGACTCCAACTAGAAGTCTCCTACATCTAAAAGTCTGCAGAACATGTTCTTTTGGAGATTTACAACTCAAATAGATTCATCTAAAAAGTTATGAGTATCCTTGCTTATTGCTTCCTTATTTTTCTCTAGCTTCATTATTCTTTTCCTCAGCCAATTTCTTTTGGTTTTATTTAGTTGCTTTTTCCCTAAATTTCAGTTTCTCTTTATTTATCAACTAATTCTCTCTCCTCCCATTCCTTCCTTATCTCCCTTTGCATGGTATTCCAATTTCTCTACTTCTCTAGTTTCTGTTTTTGTCTTTTATTTGACCAGCTCTCCCTTTAGTTTCTTGAACTTAAAGTGCAGATGACACCTATTTATTTCATTTATTCCATACTTTCCTGTGACTAAACAGTTGGTGCAGACACAAAAATTTAACATTTGTAGTCACGGACTCCTGCACGTCTCTTAGCGCTTTTTCTTTTGAAAGAGAGAAATCCGTTGGTCTTTGTGGACCACGTTTGCCGAATCAGTGGGTGGGTCACTAGCTTCCACTTCACTGACAATTCTGCTCGAAGCTGATTATCAAAGTTTCACTTTATAAGAATATTATCTCACTGATGAACTCTCCCTCAGGACCGGCCCTGGTATTTCAGTGCTGACATTGCTAAATCTGGGAATTCAGTAGTGTTGTTGTCTAGGATTTATATTTCCAAACTGCTATTCTGTAGCACTACATACTAATGGTCAATGCAATGTGATACCATGCTGTTTCATTCCATGATGCAGGTGCTTCTAGGTACAGTCATTCCTCCATATCAGTGAGGGTTCTGTTCCTGAGAACCTCCATGAATGATTAAGTTCGCGAGTGCAGAGTTCAATTAAATGGTTAAATATCAAGATATGTGAGTTTTGCTTATGAACACTGAATTGCGAATGTACAATTTGTGATTTCACAGATGCAGAGGATTTACTTTAACATAATGGGGGGGTTGCACTCTCTTCTATCATGAGAAAGCCACCGCACTTAGAGGACTGCAGTGCTAGCTTCCTACAAAGCATTATCAAATGAACAGAAGAAAAATAATCTTTTAAGGATGCCAGCAGTTCTTACTATCTTCAATCATATGTAATCAAGTTTAAATCATGAACTTTGAAAGTAGCATGAAAAAAGTACTTTACAATCTGGACTCATTTTGAAGCATCTTCAATGAGATCAGACATTTCTATTCTCCCAGTCACAGTAAGAAAGTGCATGAAAGATTTTTTGAAAGCCAAGATATTAAACTTACAACAGAAAATTTTCCATCTCCAAACCACATCACCCAACGTGTTCCTTCGGCTGCTCGACTTCGGCTAGTCATCCACCAGGACACAATGCGACCAGGCCACCAGGAGAATCCCCTTAGTTTCCCCCAGACCAGCTCACCAATGCCAAATCCACGTCCATCCTGAAATGGCAAATGTTAACGAAGGAATTTGATCATTCTTTGCAAAAACTAGAGACGTGCGAGGATTGAGTCCTGGCATTAAGCAGCCCTGATAACCATTACATTGCTATGAATGAGTAAACAGTCACTTTTTGGGAAGCTTTTGAACTTTAATGAATGGAGGAGTTTTAAAAATTATAGCACCGATTAGGTCATTCAACACATTAGAGGGGTGTGAATGAAAGCTTTTCCATCGGACTGTAAGACATAGGAGCAGAAGTAGACCATACAGCCCACCAACTCTGTTCTGTCATTTGATGAAATCATAGCTGATCTGACAGTCCTCAACTTCATTTTCCTGCATTTGCCTCATAACCCTTGAATCCCTTACTGATTAAAAATCTTTCTCAGCCTTCAATATACATAATGCCTCAGCCTCAACTGTCTTCTGTGGTAAAGAATTCCACAGATTCACTACCTTCTGAGAGAAGAAATTCCTCTTTAAAATGTCTTAAATGTATGACTCTTATTGTGAGGTTATGCCCTCTGGTCCTAGACTCTCCCACAAAAAGTAGGGCCCTGGGTAGTGTTGTCGAACAGAACTAGGGGTTCCGGTACTTAGTTCTTTGCAAGTTGCATCACAGGTAGACAGGGTGGTTAAGAACATGTTTGGCATGTTTGCCTTCATTGCTCGGACCACTGAGTAAAGGAACTAAAACAGATGCTGCCAGACCTGCTGAGCTTTTCCAGCAACTTCCGTTTTTGTTCCTGACTTACAGCATCCACAGTTATTTAGGTTTTCACTGAGTAAAGGAGTTGGAATGTAATGTTGAGGTTGTACAGGACATTGATGAGGTCATTTTTGGAGTACTAAGTACTGTTTTAATCACCTTGCCATAGGAGGGATATTATTAAATTGGAGGGTTCAGAAAAGATTTATCAAGATGTTTCTGGGACTGGACGGTTTGAGTTATAAGGAAAGGCTGGATAGTCTGGGACTTTTTCCATTGGAGCCTGGGAGGTTGAGGGATGGCCTTATAGAAGTTTATAAAATCATGAGAAGCCTAGATAGGATGAATGATAAGGGTCTTTCCCCAAGAGTGAGTGAGTTCAAAACTAGGGGGCATATTTTTAACGTGAGAGGAGAAAGATTTAAAAGGGACCTGAGGGGCCACTGTTTCACACAGAGGGTGGTTTGTATGTGTAATGAAATACCAGAGGAAGTGGTAGATGCAGATAGTTATAACATTTAAAAGACATTTGGATAGGTGCATGAATAGGAAAGGTTCAGTGGGAAAAGGGCCAAATGCAGGCAGGTGGGACTAGTTTAGTTTGGGAAACTTGGTTGGCATGGATGGGTTGGACTGAAGGGTCTGTTTCCTTGCCGTATGAATCTATGACTCTATAACCTTTCCAATCCTGTGTTCAATATTTTAAAATGGAGTCATCAATTCTAATCCGAATTCCATGTCCTTTCATCAAAAGAGACAAGACAACAGCAAAAACTTGTATTTATATAGCACCTTTAAGAGAAGGTCTAAATGTTGACATTAATATGTGATCAGAAGTCCTCTTTTAAATATGTCACCAAGGTTGTAAATAGCCTGCTTAAGTACAGACAGTTGTGAGGGCTGCTGCAGAACTCAGGGATTACATAGCAACCTATAGAATATAATAAATCCCCAGGGAAGAGTGTTGTCCAAGAATGGCAAACATGATCCTATTGATAGAGCTTTTATAAAACATTAAAATTATTTTTACAATATTTATCAGACTTTGTTAAAACTTAGGTATTAAGTGTGGCAGGTGAGGAATAAATGCAGAATGTCGAGTAGAAATCAAACAAAAGGGGAAGCATGGTGGCTCAGCTGTTAGCACTGCTGTCTCACAGTGTCAGTAACCCAGGTTTGATTCCAGCCTCAGGCAACTGTCTGTGTGGAGTTTGCACATTCTCCCCCTGTCTGCGTGGGTTTCTGTCGGGTGCCCTGGTTTCCTCCCACAGTCCAAAGATGTGCAGGCTAGATGGACTGGCCATGCTAAATTGTCCATAGTGTTCAGGGATGTGCAAGCTCGGTGGATTAGCCGATGGTTAATGTGAGGCTATGGGGCTAGAGTGGGGCACTGGGTCTGGGTGGGATGCTCTTTGGAGGCTCAATGGGACAAATGTCCTCTTTCTGCACTGTAGGGGTGCTATGATTCCACAAAATCTATTGAGGGCAAATGATTTTAATTATCCTATTATTATCTAGAATAGTAATTATGTAGAGTGAGAGATGGGGAAAGAGATTTTTAAAGCGTGTTAAGGAGACTTTTCTTGAGCAGTACATTAAGCCAAGAGTGAGGGTCTGGCTCTGAGGAATTAGGTGAGCCAAGTGGATCAAGTGTCAATAGGGAACATTTAGAGAACAATGACCAAAGTATCATAAAGCTTAGATTAGCTACGGAGAAGGGAAAAAGAGAAAAGTTAATTAGAAGTATTTAATTGGAACAGTGTCAATTTCAGTAGATCAAAAATGATTTCCATTCACCCAGTGCAGAACCCAAGAGTAATCAGAGATGGTTCAACACATTTGAGATACATTCCCAAGAAGAGGAAAAACAGACCAACTAAAGCCTGAACTCCCTGGATAATTGAAAAAGATACAGAATAAGATAATTACCTGATATCTGTCATATGCTTTAACTGAAATGGGGAACCAGGCTGAATATAGAAAGATCAGAGGAGAAAACAAAAAGAAAACTAAAGGGAAAGACAGCATGGAACGGTACTAAGAGCTAATGTAAAGGGAATTCAGAAGTCTTCCTCTGGTATTTGAACTGTAAAAGGGTAGTGGGGCTAATGAGAAACCAAAAATTAGATCTACACCTGGAAGCAGAGGGCGTGGCTAAGGTAGTGCACAGGCACTCCGCATCTCTCTTTATCAAGGGAGATAACCATTGTGAGAGAGAACATTGTTAAGATATTGGATTGGCTAACATTTGAGAAATCGTAAGTAATAGGAAGGCTGGCAATCGTTAAAAGTTGGTACATCCCCAGCAACAGATGGGATAGATCTGAAGACACGAGGGAAAAAGGTGAAAATTACAGGAAGTACTGAACATAATCTTCAAATCCACTTTAAGTACATGGTTGGGTTCAGAGGAATGGCGAATTACAAATACTATATTCTTGCTCAAAAATGGTGCAAGAATAAAACAGCAATCCCAGCAGAGGGCAAGTTTATAAAAAATTCCAATTTGTGACAAAATTAAGTTCTTTGGACAAGTACAGACAGATTCAGAAAAAAGCAGCCATAAGCACTCCTGTGACGCAGTGGTAGTGTCCCTACCCCTGGACTGTGAGACCCGGTTTCAAGTCCCACCTGCTCCAGAGGTATGTAATAAAATCTCTGTACAGGCTGATTAGAAAAATCGGCTAAATTTTAAAAAAAGGCAAATCAGGCTTAGTCACCTTGATTGAGTTATTTAAAGAAGTAACAGAGGGTTGATGAAGGTTGTACAATTTTGGAACATATACAGACTCTCAAAAGTGTTTGATGATATGCCACATAATAAGCTTGTCAGAAATTGAAGCCACAGAATAATGGTAAGTAGCAGCATGGATATGAAGTTTAGAGTGACAAGGATCACACAATTGTAATGAATGGTTGTTTTTGGGACTAGAGGAAGAAACATTCTGGAGTTTCAGGAGTTAGAATTAGGACCATCTTGATCTACATTAATGACTTTGACATGTGTATACAGGGCACAATTTCAACCTTTGTAGACACAATATTTGGAAGTATGTTAAACTGTGTGTATGATAGTGATGGAATTCAAGAGAACATATGCAAGCTGGTAGAATGGCCTGACATACGACAGTTGGAATACTGAAATGTTAAATGTTAATTTTGAAAGAACAATGGGAAGCAATATAAACCAAAGGGTGCAATTCTAAAGGAGGCTCAGCAATAGAAAAGTAGGGATACATGTATACAAATCATTGAACGGTCAGGGCAGGTTGAAAAACATGTTAAAAAGCCATGCAGAATCCTGAGTTTCACATCTTTGAGAATACTTGGTAGTTTTACACTTGTCCTTAAGTGCACAAGATGAAAAGCTTCAACAGTATGTCGCTTTTTTCAGCAATACTACATTTAGGTTCTATCAATCTGTGCTCCATCTGCACTTGGAATTTGATAAGACTGAAGAAATTATTCAAGAACATATCAACTAATTATCAGAAAACATAACCACTGGCATATAGGGTGTTGTGAAGTTGGGAAGAGTACTTGTGGATTGGAAGACAGTAAGTTAGAAATTGGTGTTTGTAAAATGCTACGGGGTGGGAGGGGCGGGGAGAATTGAGTGGTCCCTTTAAAACATAATGTGCTTTTTCCATGCTTAGAGATTTAACAAAAATGTCAATGAGCAGCAGCTTAAAAATTTGCAAAAACATAGAGAGCACACGAATTCAAACATTTGTATCAAAAGACCATACAGTTAGCAGGCCAAGCAGCAGTTTTGTTTTGCAAGACGACAAGTTTTGAATTTAGCCAATCAATTTGAACCAGGCACTTAGATACCAAAATCCAATTAAATTGAAATCTGATGGTTGTGATCTCGGATTCTCCAGCATCTGCAGTTCCTACTATCTCTGATTCAATTTTAACCCCACTGCGAAGCCTCTTCTAAGGATGCCTAGCCTGAAGAAGTTACCCTCCTCCCTCCGGACAAACCTCAGGGGATCTCTCTCCCACTGCAACTCTCTCGTAATCTCTTCGGCCCTGAAACTGCTCGACCATGTCCTGAAGCAAACCAGGTACTACAGCCACATCACCTTCCTTAGCACCTGCCTACGGAACCAGATCATCCCCAATGGACTACAATCCACATTCAAGCCTTCCCAATTTGGCCCCAACCGTGACAATATCTACACTCATAGCATTGAGATCCTTCAGAAGCGTTTCTCCCCGCGACTCCTGAAACACACACTTGCAGCAATGCGCCGGCATCTCCAGGCACTACAATCAAGCCTACCCCAGCTCAGAGCCTCCCTCTCCCAGACCTGCAAAGGACCTCTCCTGTTTTTTGTTCTTCGTAGGATCCACAACCTGAACTCACAATTCTACTCAGCTTTATTGGACACTAAAAACTGTAAGTACAGTAAACTTACTGGTGCCTACCACCCAAAACGAGCTTCCTCCACCCCCCAAATCCCCAGACGTACCCAGGACCTTCCCCACAATGGGTCCGCCGCCATTGGCCATGAGGCCACTATCGGAGAACCCACAGATGATGTCACATCCGCCACCGCCGGGTTCCCCACTTCTGGGACAGCGAACACCATCGCTGCTGTTGCCACCGACACTGAAGTCGCGAGCACCCTCACCGCTACTGCCGCCGCCAACCCCGCTCCTCCCACCGCCGACGCCGCTCCGCCCATCACCGACGCGGAGGCAACTCTGCCCACCGCTGATGCCGACGCAACTCCGCCCACCGCCAACGCAACTCCGCCCACCGCTGCAACTCCGCCCACAGCCGACGCCGACGTCGCTCCGCCCATAGCCTCCACAGCCAGCAGCTCCAGAGGAGACAGCAGCACCCAGCCCTGCCGAGTCTTCACCATCCCCCCAGACCTCCCCTTTACTGAGGACGAACGGTCAGTCCTCAGTAAAGGGCTCACCTTTGTCCCCCTCCACCCACACA